AAAATGTTAAATCCTTAAAATTAAATTTTAAGAAATCCCTTTACCTCAATTCATTTAACTCTTACTCTGCAAAAGGCAGGAAGGCACTGGTTATGTCTCATTCATCAAAAGAACAACTTTCCTTCCAGATGTGGACAGTTGATCAGGGAGGACCAAGTCTTATCAGTGGGCTCAGTGATAAGACTATCACCTCGATTCAGGGTATAAATCCCTTACAAATGTGGGAAGAAAGTATAAGTGAGGCTGCTCAGAGACAACATTTGTCTTTCCAAAAGAGTAATAGTGCCAACATAAACCCTCCAATAACCACAAGTCCAGGGCTATCATAGTTCATAGCGTTCTCTCCTATGCTTTGAAGTGCTCTCCCATGAAACTTGAATTAGAAGTGAACTGTAAACAATCCTCTGTAGCGCACACAGAGAGCAGAGAATTGGACACATGGGAAATTGGGAAGGAAAAACGTGTAGTCTCGTTTTAGGAAAATGGTGATGGAGTGGAGCTGTGGATACGTGTATGGGGACTGCACACTGATGTTCCCTCAGTGGCTGGCTTTTTTCTTTCTTCCTCCAATAGTGCAGAAGATGATGACAATTTATAAGCTATTGTTCTGTTTTACTCTGTATGAGGTGGTATATATGTGCCTCAGGGAGAAGAAAAAATAACAGTTTGCTGTTACTCCCAGAGGAAAGCCGAGGTAGAAATAAAAAGCAGCACCCTCTGGAGGCTGGTTCTCTGCAAGGGTTCCTGTTCTGGGCTCTTTTTTTTGCCCCTTGAAGGTCAATTGCTAGCACACTTCTTGCCCGCTGCTTGCCTTGTTCAGCATCTGGAAGGGAGTTTAAGGTGGAGCTCTAAAAGAGCCATTATCCCATCACAAATTCTCCAATAACAACAAAGCCAGGGGTCTGGCAGAATTCACAGCTGCCAGTCAGCAGGGTTCAAACCCTACTTTGGGCTTAGGAGGCCCGACAGCCAAATGCAGCGTCATGGGTGGTTTTGGATCATGCACATACCCCTGCTTCTCATCTTTTAGAAAGTTGAAGAACTTTGAATATGCATTGGAGAAGAGATGCTATGAAGGAATTCTTAATTTTTTTTTTAGGTTTTGGTAATACAGCATGTGGCTTTGTAAGAAACTATCCCTTCTTTTTACAGAGATGATTACTGTAAGATATAGGGATGAAAGTACATAATGCTTGCTTGGTATTTGTTTTAAAATCTTCAAAGGAAAAGAAGGATAGATGAAGCATTATGCAAAATCTCAATAACTGTTAAATCTGAGCAATGGGTAAATGGAAGTTCCTTATCCTCTTTTCTTTGATTCTTGTGTGTGTGTTGGAAACTGTTATAATACAAAATTCGTGCTTTGCCATTGCCTACCCTAGGACTTTGGACACATTAACCTGTGTTTTGCTTTCCTCAACAGCAAAGCGGAGACCCTGAAAAAGAGCCCCCCCCTTGTAGGTGTGCCATGTGGTGTGAGCAAGACCCTGTGGGTTCAGGGCATAGCACGGGGCCTGCCACAGAGCAAGCACTCAGTAATTACAGATTATCATCAGCATTGTGTATGGACTTGGGTCAGGAAAAATATTTTCCTGGCACGCTCTCACTGCTGCTTAATTCGAGCATCCTCTCTGACCCCCAAGGCAGCCTTGCCTTGTATTATGAAAAATGAAAATGCATGCAGGCAAATGCTAAAGCTAACACTTCATTCTAATGGAATATAATGTTAATGATACATGTACTAATTCTCAGTGACTTCTGACAGAAGTCACTGAGAATTAGTCGTTCAAAGATGAGGGTAGGGAGAAGGGAGAGATTCAGGAAGGAAAATAGACCACACACAATGCTTGCTGGTTAACACACTTTATATTTAACAAAATAATTTTTTAATAATATATTCTTTACACATCAAATATTGTTGCTAGAATCCCCTTTTTACAGTTTAGTGTTTAGGTTTTAATTTTTTCTCACTAGTTTTCAGGCACACCATTTTTCAAAGATTTTAGAAACTGAATCTTTTTTTTTTTTTTCTAGACAGGCATCAGCTGACAAACAGGCTGTTGATCCCTTATTTAAGCGTAGCTGTAGTTAAAGCCAAGAACCAAAGGTGGAGTGAGGAGGAATATAAGGAGAGAGGTGACAGTGTGTGGCAGACAGAGCCTTCAAAGGAAAAAAAAAAGACAACAGATGAGACCACAACTCTGTTGTTCAGAGTTTGGAAAGGATTTTTCAATGACCCAGGTAGAAGGAAGTTGCCAGTCTTTATGGTTCTTGAGAAATTGTCACAGTATAGGTTCATCTCTCCCTAAAAGGGGAAAGATGTCAGTGCCACAGAGTCTTAAAGGAAACAGCTGACAGTGAAGCTCAGAGAAAAAAAAACAAATCCAACAACAACAATAAAAACAAATCCCTTTCTCTGGCCGGTCCCAGAGGCCGCCGGGCAGCCTTCACTCTGCAGACCCTCTGAAGAGAGTCTCTGGATGGATATCGTACTTCATTCTCGTAGTCAGTTTTCACCACGACTCTCATGGTGCCAAGACTTTGGTGCAGCATTCCTGCTCTCTGCTTCCCTGTAACGCCCTCTTTCTGTTTTCTAAAAAAGGCCATGGTAGCTCCTTAATAATACATAGGGTGCTATGCTACATGGCTCCACTAATGAAGCTTTCTGGGTTTCCAACCTTATTCCTGTCATTTCCTAATTTTTAGTATTTCTTTCCAAGAGTGTGGCTTTTTGAAGCTGGAAGCAGACAACCTCAGGGCAAAGCAAGCTCTGTAATACATCTCCGTCTAGACACCAGCTGAAGTATGGAATGCCTCGACTGTGGAGTGCAGGAATAAATCATGCAGAGTTGTTCATGAATGATTCATGGCTGTCTGTGTGACGTATCCATGGTGGCAACTGAAAGGCACCAACCTTACTGCAAATTGGTGTTCTAAGGGAAGGCGGCTTGGTGTTCTTCCTTGCATGGTGCCGGCGTGGCTATTTGTATCATAACAAGCACGGTGTGCATGAGAAGTGTCAGGTCCAACTCGTCAACACGTTAATTTGGGATGACAACTTTTTCTTGAAGAAAGGAGGTGCTTCCAGGGATGAGAGATTGACAATTTTAAATGAAAATCCAGTTGATGAGACCTAAGAACTGTGTGTCCTGAGGGTGGACCTATGGCAGAGAAGCATCGCTCTTTTTGGAGGAGACCGAGCCCTCCCCCTCGGAGCTGCTGGTTGTGCATGTCCCAAAGGGCTCAGAGGTTCCCCCAACCACAGGCTCAGCCAGAGCTTCCTGGTATGTCCCCTGGCAGACACCACTCTTGACTGATTATTCTAGACCAGTGCTTCTCAACCAGGTGATATTTTGTCCACTCCCCCATCTCTCAGGGACATTTGGAATGTCTGGAGACATTCTGTGGTTACTACTAGGGTGTTGCTATTGGCATTTAGTGAATGAAGGTCAAGAATCCTGCTAAATATCCTACAAATACACAGAACGGCCCTCCAACAATGAATTGTCTGGCCCAAAATGTCAATAGCACTGAGGTTGAGAAACCTTGTTCTAGGATGCGGCACTCCACAGGAGTCATGGCAAAGCTCAGGTCGGGTGGGAGCAGAAGAGGAAAGAACAACGATAATGAAGATGACCTTAAAGTTTCCTCAAGGACCTCACCAGATCTTGACAGGAAAGCAGGATAAGCAACTAACTATGCCATGTGGTTTCAGAATTGCTAAATTTGCACTTGACTCGAGGTGGCATCAGATACCCTGTGTACTTTATTTTTTTCTGTTACTATACTAGCAGCATTACCAGGGCAACCTTGAGACTCTTCAAAGGTTCACTTTAATTGCTCAGTATCTAATATATACATTTTAAAAAATGTTCAACAAGTTGAATTGTATTGTGCAAGACTCACTCTACCCTAATCTTTGATTTAAGTCAGCACTTGAGGTGGAAAGAGTGTCCTGAATTGTGTTTTAGACATAGGGCTGAGTGGTCGTTACTCTAACATGGCAATCGTGGTCCTGAACCATAAACACTGCCTGTGTGTCCTACTGGCTTTGAACTCCAAAGCCAGTAGTGTTCAGAAGGATTCAGATTCACAGTGGGGCTGCTCACCCTGGTTCTGGTATGTATAGTGCCAGCTGACAGTGGGTTTAGAGTGTGTTTAGTTACAAGTGAACTCAAATTCAGCATCATGAGAAAGTTCAGTGATTAATGCTACAACTTTGAATACCTGTCTCCTTTGGATTCTTTAGTCCCGTTCATGGTGTACTTCACATACTAGTTTTTGATTGGCAGTTTCAAGGTTTTGCAGATGAAATCTATGGTTTGTAAGAATGAAATTGGGAGCCCCCAAACCATGCACCGAGCACCAGGTCCCTGCCTTGCCCAGCAGTGGTTCCACTTGTGTGCGCTTCTCTTTTCTCTGCCTACGGGGCATGAGTCACTCAAGGGGAGCGATTGGTTGGTTGGATGCTTTTGGTTTTCCTGGTCAGGCAGGGTCCTCACCCTGACATTTCTTTTACCAAAGCTCATTTGACGCAACTCAAAACTTTACTGTGTGGTAAAATCTGGCCCCTTAGACTCTAAATGGGAAAAAAAATGCTACAAGAGAAAAATGCCATGTGTGGTGCACGGGAGAGTAAAAATGAATGAACTCGGTGGATGGCGAGCTGGCAGGCTAAAGGTGTCACTGGAGAAGGAGCCTGGACAAGGCTGTAGCTTTGTTTTTGTTCCAGAAGTCCAGTCGTCAAGTCACCATCAAGCATGGAAAATACAAAAGCGGTTTCGGTAGCTATATACTATGTATATTTTACATAGCAAGAGAGAAAGAGAAAAATTTCCTCTCAGTAAAATATTCACTTTTGTCAACCCTAAAAGGTTTTGCTGGTGACCGCATTGTAGCTGGCAGGAGTTTGTTAGTTTGTCCCGTTTTGTTTGAAATGTGTGCAGAGTTGAAGCCATAGCGTCCTCTCCTAAGAACTCGTCCTCGGTGGGGAATTTGCTCTACACAATCTGCTTTCCTTGGCATTCGCGTTTCGAACACTGAGCCGGCTTCCACCAGTCCCCGTTGTGACAGTGGCAGATGTTACATTCATCCACTTTCACTTCAATGCCAGCCGGAATTATGGTCGTTCCTGCAAAGCAGTTTGGACCTGGAACACACACATACGTTGATTATTTGATTGAATCTGAGAGGCGCCCTCTCTCGCCCCTACCCAACCCCAGTTAAAAAATCCAACCCCAATACCATGAATCAGGAGGTCAGACTACGCTTAACAGTTTATCATGGAAGGATTTTCTAGCCATCTCCTTTAAATAAAAACTTCCAACTCCTACCGTCTGTTGCCTACAGACAGTATTCCCTGTGTATAGTATGCTTTAAAAAAAAAGAGTCCATGCTCAGAAAATATTGTCTGTTACTGAGTACATGCAGTTTTCTAAAGTAAGCTTTTATGGGTTAAATGTCATTTGCTTTTGGTTTTGGGGTGTAAAGGCTGCCAAAGTGTCCTCTGAAACTTGAGTGGGGGTCTAGCGAGGTCTGCCTCAGATGATGGTACCTCGTGGGCTGTTCTCTGGCTTCCCGTGGTGGGTATGAGATGATGAACTCACTTACTCCCCAGTCTCAGCACCTCTGTAAGCCTGGTTCCTGGAATCCCCAGCTTGTTTCTTGATAATAATGAATAATTCATGGCCAGATGATTTATTCATGTCCCAAACAAGCTTTGTTAGAGGTTCATTTGATTTTTATAAATGGAGTTCCTTTAATCTGGTGGCTGTTTTTTTTTTTTTTTTTTAAAGAATGACCCAAATGATTGGCTTTTCAAAGGCAACCAGAATTTTATTTTACTTTTTCAGATTCAGAAACTCTTTATTGAAAATGTCACTTGCTAACTGTAGATGGACATTTGTAAAATTTGCCCATCTCAGTTTTTCACTTCTTGTTTTTCTCTCCTTTCTCTGACTCTCCTTTACTTGGTTTTTCTAACCCTCCCTGTGTACAAGTGCCAGTGTTCCACCTGGGCGATACTATTTCTCAGATTCAAATGGAATAAAAATTGCTTCCGAGGGTGCAGTGGATTAGAGCAGGGCAGTGCATATCGCTGTTTGTTTGAAATAATTTGATGTGTCTCTGAAGTACGTGGTGGGAGAAAGAGAGGGGACACAGAGTTGTGTCTGGTGGTGATTTACTGACCCGCATTCCTGGCTACTTGCCACAGCCACTGGGAACTAGCACTGCAGCACGCGCCGATATCGGCGCCCCACTTTCCCTCTCTTACCCCTTGGGAAGAGTTTACGAGACTGCATTCACTCTCAAATGAATAAAACGGGCAATTTGTAGTCTACTTCCTAATTGGAATCTTGCTTTTATAAAAATGATAACTACTAACTAACAAGGTCTACTCATCAAATGTAAAACTATTTAATAGGTTATGGCTTTCACCACCCATTGTTTTAGAACTCCAAGACCTCAGCTGTGCATGCAGTTCCCAGGGGTATTCATGTACCTTCAACTTTCCTTCACTCTGCTGAACAAACATCTTAGAAATTTGCCTGGTCATGGAGAACTCATAAAAGTAGGAAAGATATTAGTTCAAGGCTGACAATTAAACAGGTTGTGAACGTCTACTTTTACCCAGAAGGCCACTTCTTATGATGCTGTGGTTATAGGTCCCTGGCCATCCAAACTGTTGATTATTCAAGGATCACTATATCAATTTCATAAGTCTTAGGATGTAGACATTGTTTGAGAGATTCAACTGTCTTTGGGACTATATTTCCCTGGGAAAAGGCCACACCAAATCATGAAGTTGTTCTGTTACCAGAACTGAGGGAGTCTTCGGAGAACTTGGCAAGGAGGCATTTCCAGAAGGTAGCTGCTTCTCCCGTGGCTGTTCTCGACACACCTCTCTCCGCACAGCCAGTTCTAGGTCCAACCTGGCCAGAGCCACACTTGGAAATCACACCGGGTGATGACTACCACCTGTTATTCAGGAATCATCCAGACAGGGTAGCCGTTTCTCTCCACCTTTCTACTTCCAACCAATCCTCTTTACCCCAATTGTATACTTTTTAACTTTTCCAGGTGGGGGATGAAAAAACCATTTCTAAACAGTGGTTTCAAATCAAAGAGTTCCCTTAAAAAGGCAGAATATTATTCAGTAAATGTACTCCCAGCTCCTTGAGAAGATTTAGAAATTTGTCAGAAGAATCTTAACTGCATGTGAATGGGTAGAGGAGCATGGCTGGCTCACAGGGGTCAGGTGTATCTCACTGGCAAAAAAAAAAGAGCTCCAGCAAGTCAGCACACGTGTCTTGAGTTATTTTTGCTAGGGTGCTGGCTTTCATAGGCCCTTTCAGCCTATGTCAGTGCCATATTCTGATCAGTATGCATTTGATCAGCCTCAATACATCATTTCTTAAGAGTCATTTAGAATTTGCTGCACTCAGCTCAGGAAATATTAATTTATACTGATTGACAGAATGCAAAGAAAGATTCTTTGCACTTTGCTAGGACTGACCATCAAAGGCACTGCCTATGAATAACACGGTGACTTCTCTACGGTCTCCTTGGCAGTCAGAGAGGTATTTTACAGAATCACAAAATCTTGCTTGATCTCATTAACAGTGATTTTTTACTTAGCACCCTTCTGAAAATTTCAGGCATAGCTCAAGCAAGCCTAGAGTTTATTGTTAATAGTCTGATCTGCATACAAGTAATTTAGATAATTCCCAGACATAATGCTTGGCACAATGTAGACACTGTTTTGGTTTTGGCCTGTCCTTCTTAATAGGGGTGGCAGTAAATGCTAATTTTCTCTGAGCATGTGAGAATTCTATGTGAATTCCTTACACAAGAAATCTACCCTTCTGTCTGTTCTCTCCCTTTTATTTGGGAGCTGCTTGTCTTTGTCTTGGCTTATGTGAAAGAATAAGACACTTTGAAGAGTGAACTCAATAGCAAAAGCAACATATTTTAATGCAGAAGACTTGGACAGACTCCAGAGGGGAGCAGTGAAAATGATTAAACTGAAGGCTGGCAAATAGGACCTCTGAGAAAAGGTTAAAGGGATTGGAATTATTTAATCTAGAAAGAGAAGACAGAGGAATAACTCAATAACTCTCGGGGAATGAAGGCTTATTAGGTGAAAAATGGTGACCAACTGTTCTTTCTTCTGACGGCTAGCATAAGAGAAAATGGAGACACATTGATTGCCAAGGAATTGTAAACATGCCCAAATTGCTCAGAGAGCCGAGAATCGAGTGTGGCAGATCCCCCAACAGTGTAGGGAGCTCTTCTCTCTTAGAGATCTTTGGGAACACGGGATGTCTCCTCTGTCAGGTATGATTTAAATCATTAGCTCCTTGAAAACAGAAACTGGATAGCTATCATTTCTTATGGTAGAAATCATTTCTCATTTCACAGGCCTAACACTGTGTCCAGCAAATATTAAAAACACGGTATATGTTTGTTGCACTGAATGACATAGGATGAACAAAGGATCTCTATGTCAGAAGCAAAATTTTCTGATCTTCTAGATCAGGCCTTGCACACGCAAACAGCAGACCAAGTAATATAGGCATAGATGTTTATTAATGAAAGAAAACACAGAGTGATAATTTCTTGAGCACTTCCTGCCAGGAGCTCATCTCATTTAATCTTTCCAAGAAGCCATATAAGGTCCACATTTGCATTCTCAGCCCCCTGAGCCTCAGAGATGGAAAAGGACTTGTGTGAAATCAGGTGTCTAGGAAGTGACATCAGTGCAGTACAAAGTCAAATCTCCCTGACCTATTGGAATCCATACAGTCCCTTCTTTGCCCACATTCTGAGTTTCTATTTAGAATTTGGAAGCACACTTGGTTTTTGTTTGAGGATGAATACTGAGGTAGGAAATGGAATGGCCAGGTAGACTTGAGACTTTTTTTCTGTGGATCTGTATAAGACCTACTTGTTTTAGACTGCATGTCCAGAAAACATAACTTATCTAACAATGAAAAGGGAGTTACAGTGGAGAAGGTGCTTGTAGTAAAGGACTTTGGTCTTCTTCGGGCAGCAGTTCCCACTGGTTGTGAATGAAAGGAAACTGCTACTCAGGAGACCTGGTATAAGTTGTGGTTCTACAATTAATTATAAATGTGACTTTAGGCAAGCACTTTGTAACCTGAATACAAATGGGGGACCATGTTGTCTAGTCTCAGAAAAAATTCATATTTTTGAAAATGCATTACAATGGGAACTGCAGCTTAAATCTTTACTGGGAGTTGGAGCAAGAGAGGAGAGAGGGAAGAACACTGTAGAAATTCTCATACATAAAAATTTTTTCCCCATGAAACATGAATAATTTTCCCTGTTACTGGAGCACTTATTTTGCATACCTATAAAATAAAAACTAGTTTACAGACATTTTTTTCCACAATAGAAATCATTCAAAATCTTATAAGGAAGACCAATCTGGCCAGGAAGCTCTGGGAGCCTGGAACACTGCCTTATCAGCAATATTTTTTCTTGTCTTTTCACCTCAACCTCACAAAAGCAGCCTGTAAAGCAACTACACAGAATATCTAGTGATCAGAGAAAAGGCATTTGGAATGATCTCCTCCAGCTTCAAGAACTGAAGAAAACAGGAGAAAATGGGAAGGAGTCTGTCATATTTGTGATTGTGAGAACAGAGTAGATTCAACTCACCCACTGAAATTGTCTTTTTTGATAAACCCTAACATTTCCTGTATAAATGGATGCATAGCAACTATATGGAAAAGGAAGTCTACAGCTAATCTGATCTCACATCCTATAGATGTATGCTTGCTTATGATGTTAAACATCATATCAGTTGCATGAAGAAGCAAATGTGTAACATGGAATCAGTGCTTTGAAGGGCAGAATCAGAGAGCTGTGGAAGGTTGTAACAGAGAACTGGGCTGTGGGTAAATGGAAAGATTTGGGGTACATTAAAGATTTCTATAGTTATTCTTAAAGGTATGGGAAGCTATTAAAGTATTTTAGGTAGGTCAGTGTGTGTATGTGCATGTGTGTGCAATTGCAAAGTAAAGGCATTGATTCTATGAAGTGCATTGTGTCACTATGTGAGTAGTTCACAGAGCACCCAGGTCAGACTAGATAGGACATCTTGATGGATGCAGGTCTTTGGAG